AATCAGCGCAAACTACGATAAAACTGCCATGGAAAAAGGAAAAAGATAGAGGTTCCTGTCTTTTTTTTCCCCCTCGCTTCAGAATTATTTTGCCCGCAAATAACTGAGTTTAAACATAAGAAAAAGGTATTAAATTTTAGTTATATTCATATGCAGCAATGAAATTAGGGTCTATTTCCACCTGCTGCTCTGAAAACTTGTTTAGAACAAATCTACAATGAAAGTCAATAGTTTTTTCAATCAACAATTCTCGATCATTATAAAAAGGTAAACATTTATTTAAGTTTCACGAATGGTAATGCAATAAGAAATAAACACGAAAGATTAATACAATAGCAAAAACTGCTGGCAAAAAACACTTTGTTTGAAAACCTGTAATATTTAAAAGTGAAAAATCGTATTTCTGAAAAAAATTTTTTAAATAGAAAATGAATTAATATTCTTTAAGATTTAAGCCTCTTAATACACAGCCATCGACGATGGAATGCGATATTTATACGTTTTCAACTCCGAGAAAGTTTGGTATAATGGTTACGACCCAGCAATAATTTTTGTTTACACACGTTTACTTTGCGTGGGATTTAAGCCTGAACACTTTCATGTCACATGCACAATATGAATAAATAAGTAGAAATTTTCAAACGACGTGATCCATGAAGCAGATAGTTAAAAAAAAACATCCTTTGATTCAAACAATCTATTTTAAACACCAACCTGCCGTTAAACTCTGAAACAAATTTCCTCCCAGTGGATAAGGAGGCGGAATAGTAAAGCGCAGCGGTTTTTGTTTTTTTATGATTTTTCCAGAGAAAACTTTTGTAAATCCTTCTGATAACTTTGCTAAGATTTACTATCGCCTTGGTTCGATTGCGTGCTCCCTGAGGCATCATCGTCCAAGGAAGTTTTTTCAACATTATGAATGATTTCTTGTAGTTTATCACGCGCAATATCTGTATCCAAGCATGCTCCACGTCTTCCTGTCCTTCCACAACTTTTAAACGCTTCTTTGTTGTTAACACTTCCTTCAGTTACTGATGCTTCCATTTTAACGATTATTTTGTCCGCAATCTCAACAGTTACTCATTGATATCTCACGATTCCACTGTTGTCTTTTATTCCCTCGATGGCGGGTTTATATCTTCGGATACGTCGTTCTTTGACAGCGGAGACTTACGCTGGCATCTAGACTATAACAGTACAAATAAATAACATATTGTGAAATATTATGTGCCAGTTCGTAGTAACCACAAATTTCAGATCAAAGGCTTTCGTTGCTCAGGAATAGACAGTATCTGTAGAGCAGAGAATGATGTCCAACTATAGCTCCTCTTTAACTGATGTCTCTGCGCGCGGAAAACAAATCGGTTTTCGAAGCAAAACACTTTTGCTACCGGATGTTTTTTACTCGCTATTTCAAGAGTTTTATCCCAGTGTAGATTGGAAGTGGAAGTAGCCTTGTAATGATTTAGCGTGCGCTCCTAGTTTCACCTGCCACAAGATTCCATTCTTGACCGAAGTGAATCATAAAATTGCGGAAAATCGTGACTCTTACTACTTCCCTCGATACGAAGACCATAATTAGAATTCACAAACTTCAAAAACGAGTTCAAAGCATATTAATTCCGCTCTGAAATGTAATTTGTCTACGTTGGCAAATATTGTTTTGAGGCGCATTTCAATATGAAAAGCGAAACACCTATCATTTGCGTTAATGAAAGTCATCGCTAATTTAAGCTCTCTGTCCGATTATCGTAATTTAAGGAGCAGTAATGAAGTCTCTTGATTGGAATTACTTTCATTTGGGACATTAAATGATGAAATCTCGATCCTTACATAAAGAAAACCGCGATAAATCAGCCGCGTGTACATGCTAAAACTTCGGCTTAATCCCTCGAAGACCGCAAGGAAAATAGACGCACAATACTGAATATTGCATCGTCGAAAACGGTTCCTTTGTTGCTCTGACGCACTGTTGTTGGGCTAGTATATTTATTGTCTTCGTTTTTTGGATGATCAATTGAAAGATGTTATTTATCCAGGGCTTGACAGTGAAAGGAAACAACTCATTGGTAAATTACCACTAGTCATGTCAAACGATGAATACGTAATGAAAATATTGTAATAAAACAAATATCAATACTTGTCATCAAGAGTTTATTAAGTATTACGTAGTGGACGTTTGCAGACGATTCAATATATATTGTTCTAACAAACTAAAATAACTGCAGTGAAATTTCGGGACCGAACGAAACAAACTACAAATTTATCAAATGTAGTATTCTAAATCACACCTCCCTAGCGAATAAGACTCGTTCCTTGGTCGATTGAGTCCGAATATTCATGAAATATTAACGTGGAAGTTGTAACAGAAGGTTATGGCTAATTCCGCGAAATTGATGTAGAGAAGATTCGTCCACCAGTAACTGTCGCAAGTATTGCCCGCCTGCAATGTATATTACATCGGACCCTCGCCCAAGAATGAGAGAGATTAAAAGTTACTTTTGTGTTCTGATTGGCTGACAGAAAGGCGTAAAACACGACACGACGCAGAAGATTCAATTCTATTTATTCTGTGGCCTTCCGGCCATGGAATAAATCCCTGATTTTCAAAGATTGTTCCCTCAAGGTAGCTCTGTATTACCTCTTATTTTATTTCTTATAACTGTTATTTGTTTATGTATTTATTTTTCTTTTTGAGTTCTCATGGCCGGAAAATGGAATTTATTGGGCATGACTTAATAATAGTAACTAAAGCGCTCAAAATCAGTTGGGAAGTTTCTTTAGAACAGCATCTTTGATGTTCTACCGCCCTAATCTCGTATCCAGATCCCACGGTGTAACTGTAACTTGGCCACTAAAGGTCTGGATACGAGACTACGTTTACTCCCCCCTCCCCCCTGCTTCCGATTTGCCCGCCCTAATCTCGTACCTAGATCCTACGGTGTAACTATTAGTTGCCATGAAAGGTCTGAGTACGAGACTACTTTCGCTCTCTTCCCCCCCCCCCCCGCTTCCAATTTGTTTATTGCCAATGTGCTGATGTTATCTTACAGTCCAACATTGCAAGGGGTAGGAGGGACAAGAGAGACACAAAGGTATCTGGGAGTGAAGTTTTAAATATTTGAAAGTGAAAGCTTTACAAAAGTTGAAAGCCAGAAAACAAGTGTTCTGATTAACAAAATCGAGCAATGATTCAGAGATATAAGGATACTAGAAAATTAACTGTGTGTTGCCAGCAGTCTTTTGGACTCTTACCTATCGCTAATTCGGGAGAATATTTCAAGAAAACGGAATACATTTTGAAGCATTCCTAACACCCACCAACCTCACTGAAGTTGAGCAGCCGTAACATGGCTACGAAGTTCGTAGCACCTGTTATCGCTTAAGCCCTCCTTGCCATCGTCTCCTCAGTAGGCAAACCCCTAATTCGAAGAAAATTCGTGGCCCTGACCGCTCAAATGGATCGAAAGGTGGAGCATGTGCACTCATTGTGCCGCTTCTAACCAAGGTGGGAAGGTACACAAAAAATTTATTTTTTCCCCTTGAGAACATGGAGAATTTTAAAAGGCTTTGCACCAACTTTAGGTAAATCTGAGGCTAATCCTGTACCCAGATCCTACAGTGTAATTGTAATCGCTTATCCGTGAAAGTTCTGGGTACGAAACTAATCTGAGGCCTCGATTTGGTTTTTTTAAGACCTCTCAGAGGTCTTAAAAAAACCAAATCGAGGCCTCAGGAAAACTGGGCCTTCGATGTGCAGCAAGTACTACTTGATGAGCGACCGCGACTTACTGCACATGGAAGGCCCAGTTTTCCTGGATCGGGCACAGACATATCGAACGTAAGCCACAATTTCGAATTTCCCGTGATTCCCGTGATGCGTATATCGCATCGCATATCGTATATCGTATATCGTATATCGTGATGCGTATATCGCAATTATAGCACTAAAATAAAAGCTACACTTGAAATGCCTTTGACCCGACAAATATTTTTTTCCTGTCAAACTAGCTCTTGGTCGAGCAGCTGCCAAATTCCGAGTGATGTTTGATACTTTTGAAATGTCGGAAATCAGAATTTATTAATGGAAATGGAAGAATCTTCCGGATAGAGTAAAGATGTTTCCAGATATATCTCTTTTTCTTCTCTTTCGAACCTGCACAAATTAACACGAAACCATGTAATTGCCCCTGGAGCTGTTATTTATAAGTTTGTCGTTAATTAATTCCCTCAAGCTAAATCTAAAATGCAGAGTCTTTTAAGAAAAATGAATATGTTTGTGTGTATCGGAGAAATAGAAAAACAGGGCCAGGAATACAAATGACGTACATTATTTATGCAGATAAGGCCAATCAGGAAACATTTTATCTTCTTCCGACGTTTTTCTCGTGTTAGTGTTTCAGTAAAATAACATATCTTGGCCTACATTATTCATAAAAAAAAGTTTAAAAAAACGTGTAAAACAGTGAAGTCATTTGTACCTAACAAAACATTACCTTGGATATTCACAATTTCAAAGAGAAAATTTTATCCTTTTATAAACAAAAAAACTGTCCTATTTAAAGTAAGAAACTTATCTTTTATTATGCAAATGAAAGCTGGATTTACTTTAAACAAATTTTGAATTGTCTTTTAGATCTTAATAGAATTTTTTAAAAAAAAATTCAAATCCCTGCTCTCAAAATGGACAATTTGTGTTTATTTGTCCTTAAATTCGTGTTACTGTATTGATTCAGAGCCTTTAGGACGCATCCTGTATAAAACGACTCGGTTTTTTCTGTAATTACCTACATATCGTGAGGCTAAGATTAAGAACCATTGAAACGTTTGGCGAGAGTTAGCCAATAAAAAACGTTTTTCCATTGGCAGCTGGGTAAGAATCGAAACGATTTCTGTCTTGGTTCAAAAGTGTAGGCACTTCGTGGTAAGTGTCAGATGCAAGCACGGTATTAACGTAGTCAAGATCAAAGGGATTACACTATCTCCTCGAGTTGTTGAGTATGTCTAAAGAAGAAAAACTATGGCCTGAACCTGCTCCAAATTGGCCTGAAGCGAAAAACGTTTGGAAGTGGGGCTGGCCATTTCACGTTTATCTCTTTACCACCTTAAATTTTCTGGTGGTTCTTCGCAGCTTGTACGTAATGATTGAACAAAGAAAATCACATGTTTTGACGAAAGACCACCGCTTCTTTATGAACCTGTTTCTTCTAGTGTTCGGCACGACTCGTGCAGTATTTTTGCTTTCAAATCCATACGGATCAGATCCTGATGCTACCAAAACAGAGCTGGTTATCTGCATCGTCACGTTTGGTATCGGAACTGCATGTATTACGTCAGCATTCAGTTTCGTGCTGTTGATCGTTCTCGAAAGCACTCGTCTTTCGCTTGCGCCAAGTAAGTTTCAAAACAGAGGCTTTCTTCTCGGGGTATGTATTGTCAATATTCTTTACGTGATCATATCCGACGTAATCGTTGCGCATTTTCCCGTGGCCAAAGCAATGATTTTAGTTTGTCAAGTATTGTTCGCCATCTGGGGATTTCTGATTGCATTGGGCTTCGCTCTGGCTGGCGCACGACTTTGGCGTAACTTAAAGGCTTCGCGCCAAACCGCTCAGTTCGACCCTGAACTGGCAGCCGAGAGCAAGAAGATCACAAGATTGGTGTTTTTGCTTTATGCAGCATCGTTCTGTGGGGTGGCGATGTTCTCCACGATTGTTTACCAAGCTTTTGGCGACACAGGAGTATACAATGAGTCTGGACTAGTAAGCAATTGGCCGTGGATTGCTGTCCAGACATTGTTGAGAACATCCGAGTTATTGATGTGCTTACTGGTATTTTTAGTTGCTCTGAGGACAAGAATTACTAAGCGCACACAAAACAATCAAGTCGACAGTTACTCGAAGTCTTAGGGGCTAATTAAGCAACAGGGTTAGCTTTCATTACCACCATGAAAACGACTAAAAGAGACAGGAACACCAAGTCCGTCGCAAAGGTTCCGCAATTAATGATAAATTTTCTTTAAAAAAAAGCCAACTAGGATTACAAAACTTTCACTCTCTTTAAATCTTTTTGTTAATTTTTTATCGCTCAAATAGATTTCGTAAACTTCTTCGCCGGAATAATTAATTATTTAGTTTCCTTAGCTTGAATTAAATGCGATTACTCTACTACCGACGTAATTATAAATAAAAGATAAGGAAAGCTTTTCCTATTTCAAGAACTTTTTCTCACTATTGACCACTATTTCTTGTTTTGCAAGCTTGCTTTTCTTAACGTCCAAAGATATGACTTCAATAGAGTTGATTTAAGGTTTAAATTAGGTTAGAGGTACTTAAAGGTAAATTGACAACTCCAGATTCTAACTTACTTCTTGTAACGTATACAAACGTTCCGATCAGCAAAATGTTTTTATTTAATGTGTTTTAAAAGAAAAATACGCCATCTTGGATATTAAGCTCTTACGTGACAAATCAACCATGTTAAAGTGTGTGGTAAAAAAACAACCGGCCTCTTTTCCGGTGACGGAGAAATTCGTTCATCACCAAGAATAACTCGCTTGCGCCGTTTGTTGTTATGAATAATGTTCAAATGGTTGGAAAAAGTTAGCGCGGTCAGATCAAGATCGATTTCCCCCCTGATATATTTCGGTTCCCCCCTCTCTCCCTCGCAGAGGCTTTTTGGCACATATCTGCTAAATGTAATGACTCTGCAAGCGCACGAATCGAACAAGCGTTTAGGGTTTAGCGTGTGGGAGCGATCTAACTAGGCTTCCGCTCATCAACTGCTCATATCGTCTATTATTCACCAGGCACGTGAAATGATTCAAAAATTACTGAGGTAAACTGCCATTTTTTCAAAATGTTTACAATTTCTTTCATGGTTTCTTTGGTAAATGAAGTGTTGAAACTTCCCAATTGTCGATCGATTCTCTATACTTTCAATCTGATTCCTAGGGCTTTTCCCTAAGGCGAGAAATTTTAACTGTATGAAGTTTCGAAGAAAATTCTTAAAACCCGTGACATAGATACATGCAATCTGTTTTCCCTTCACAAGCGTAAACGGAAATCGAATTCATATATGTGTTATGAACAAGAAGGGAATGAGCCAAACTCATCTTGATTCGTTCCAGTCTCTTCTCGCCTCTTGTTCTACTCACAGCCTCATACATTGTTCATCATTACGTAAGATTAATAATAAATATGATCAATAAGCTAAAAAGCCTAATTGACTTTTGTCAATCCGCAACTTGAATGGTTCAGTGTGTTGGCTCCGGATTGAATATTGAATGCGTTATTTTAAGACAGACAGATTTATTGTCTCATGCTCTCTGGCAAGACGCAATGCAAATGCCTTTCTCCAACTCCAACCGGGAACGTAATCAAATACCCGCCGACTGAAAAGAAATTACAGAGATCAGCTGTTCTCCTTTGATAATTCCATTGCGGCATGACGGTGGCAGTATTCGACTATTCTTAAAGAAACCGCTTTAACTACCTTTTGATTTATCATCTCTATTAAACGTTTCATCTCACACTAAAATACACTTTATCCGCAGGTGTTAAATTTTATAATTTTATTCATTACAATTCAGCGATATTTAATGTTCGCGTTCCCTTTATCTTTCTAAGTAGGCGGAGAAGTCAAAGCAAGATATGTTCAAGTATATGGTTAAATTGAACGCTTTTCAGTGCCTTTCATATGAATCAGTAAATAGAAAATAATAGCTGAAAGTGAATAGACAAAAGAGCGGCCTTCGGTTAAGAAAAGTTGCTCTTTACACATATTTCGCTAATTGATGTGGCAAATTGTGTCGAAGTAAAAAAAAAAACGACACCAATTGAAAATTAAGCTTTGTGATTAGACCAGTTCCGGCGTAATTTGTAAATCAAGCCTGGAATAAAAACATTAGCAGCGAAAAACATGAATATACGACTATATAATTGAGGTCATAAATAATTAAATGGGCGAATAACCTAAGGTTATTTCTTTCCAAACGCAGTGCTATTAAATCATTTCCTCCCTGTATGAATGAATGTCATGTCCTGTGTGAAGTGGTCAAAGTGTTAACTTTGAGAAAGAAGCTGTTCGAACTCACGGTCTCGGGTGCTTCAATCAAAATGTTTGCGTCGAGCAGTTGACCCTCTCTAGCGTCGAGTCATTGCTGATCTGATTATTTTTCGTGGGCTTAGAAGTTCTCGTTTTCAAAGCGACTAGGTATATCAGCAAGCACATCAGTACCTCTAATGTTCTCATTAATGTCTTCACTGCAATCCAAGGCCAACTCCTCACTAAACCAGACTCGTTATTCACTCCTGTTGCGCCAAAGGCTGAATAAACAATGGTTGAGAACATTAACACTCCGCAAAACGACGATGAATAAAGCAAACTGACCAATCTTCTGACCTTCTTACTCTCGGCAGCCAGAACAGGGTCGTACTGAGAGGTTTGACGCGAAGCTTTCAAGTTGCGCCAAAGTCGTGCGGCAGCTGTAATAAACCCTATCGCAATCAGAAATCCCCAGGCAGCAAAAATGACTTGACAAACTATTATCATAGCTTTAGCTTCGTGAAAATTGGCAACGATTAAATCAGACACGATCACGTACAGAATGTTGACGATGGAAAGTCCAAGAAGAAATCCTCTGTTTTGAAACTTGCTGGGAGCGAGCGAAATGCGTGTGCTTTCTAGAACGATCAACAGCACAAAACTAAATGCTGATACGATACATGCAGTTCCGATACCAAACGTGACGATGCAGATTACCAGAATTGTTTTGGTAACATCAGGATCCGATTCGTACGGATTCCAAAGCAGGTACATTGTGCGACTGAAGCCGAACAATATAAGAAGTAAATTCATCAAGAAGCGATGATCCTTCCTCCTTAAATGCGTTCTTCCTCGTTTGACTAAGTCGTACGTGCCGCGAATCACCACCAAAACGTTTAGGGCTGTAAAAAGATAAACGTGAAAAGGCCAGGCTAACTTCCAAGTTTTTTTCGCTTCAGGCCAATCTGGAGCAGGTTCGGGCCAAGGTTTCTCGTTTTCGACCATACTGAGAAACTTTAACAAATTAAGGAACTCTCCACCGTCGTCAATCCTTCACATGGGTTTTCATCTGTCACTTTCCGTTCGTGGCGCGAAAGATAATCTATTTTAAAGACTTATTTGACAGGAATTGTTTCGATTCTGACGCAGGTGATACTGAAACAAGACTGTCATTGGCTGATTAATGTACAGCTACATGCTTCGGTAACGTTTTAACCTAGACTAGATATTTCTGAAAACTTGTTTTCCAAAGGATGCTTGCCGCCTAAGGTTTGACTCTATCTCAAAAGCAATAGCTTGTATCTTTAAAACGTCATTAAACAATGTAGATGTATATACATATTTTAATGAATGACTAGCTCCAACGTCAAATTCATTCGCATGTTGAATTTTTGTTTATTTAGAGAGCACGGACGCCAATTGATTTGCATAATATTTATGAACGTCTCTTTTTGAAAAGACGAATACTTTTTTCTTCTCCTAGAAATAAACATCTGAATAAACAAACTTGCATGCAACCAACACAAATAAAGAATTTTTATTTTTTCATTCTGAAATTTCGAAGAAAATATATCACAACAAAACTTGGTAATTTTGTTTTGAGACAATGAGTAAATCAGTATATTAATTATTTATCAAACTTAAGTCACCTGACTTGCGACAATGCCAACACTCTGTCTAAAATTTTCTTAATTAACAGTTTCGAGAAAAAAAATTGCCCGTAATTTCTGGCCCTAAGGTCAAAATGCAGTTCAAAGTGTTTTGCAACTTAATACTTAACAACGAATTGCTACGGAGAGTGAAACTTTATCATATAAGAACCAGCAAACATGCCTAGCTTTAATGAGGAAAGTTTGTTTACACATTATCAGTGTGTCAGCGAAATTTGAGTCATGGTTTTCTCAAAGAGGAATAATTTACGATATAGCATGTATTCGTTTTTTTTAAGACACGG